ATTTGTACTAACCAACTCCTTTCATTTGTTTCATTACGTATGTTTAACTAAAAAAAAAAAAAGGCCCTGCTCCTCTAATTTTGGAAAAGCACATATTTCCGTAGTATGGCAAAAGTGTTGATACTTTCCAAGAACAAACATTTCACCGGGTACAATGTTCACTCCCTGTTGAAAACTGCATGGGCCCCCCTCTCCTCCCTGGAAATTTCTACTGGACCTCTGTAAAATAGATAAATGCAAAATATAAGGATGTATAACTTCCCAGTCCCTGTAACCCACCTGAAATACTCTGTGCGGGAATGCCAGCATTCAAAGAAACTTTCTTTGTAAGCCTCTTTTTAATTTCAGGATCTCAGTGTTGCATGTACCCTTGATGCAATTCTAAGGATAACTGTTAGCCAAATTCTGCATGTTTCTCCGTTGTTGTACAAGCTGCTGCCAGATGGTTTTACGGAGAAAATACATTCAACGTCAGTCACCTAACTGGAAGCCAGATGGCACAGCAGAAGTTGGAACAAGATGTTTGCCAACTCGTTCTTGCTTCCAGCTGTGGTCCCATGCCTCCACCATGACCATGAGGACAATGGCCTCTTGACTGTCACCGTGACTCTCTGTTTAGTGTTCCTGGCCATGCTACGTGCTCATTCAAACAGCTGACTTGATGACATTGCCTTGCCCCCTCTTCCCAAAAGCTGCCCTGAAGAACAAGCAGAAATGGGTATGTAAGAGTCAGTGGGGCAAGATAATCCTTTGCTGGGGTTCTTCTCTCTTGTGATGAAGTGCGTAAACTGGACCTTTTAGATATCTTACTGGAAAGTCGCTAAAAGGTGGCTTGGATGGATGTTGTGGTTTTTTTAACTCAACTTATCAGAATTGTAGTCAGTTTGCCTGTTGGGATATTTTGCTCTGAATGAGAGGATAGTCTCACAGTCCTTCAGTTGGTAGCACAAAGCTGGAAAAGTACCTGGCCCTTAAGGGTGGGGAGCGTGTGTGACAGTTGTGGAGCAGTCCAGTTTTCAGGAATGATGTTTTTCAAATACTGTAACTCGTCTGGCTGATGTATCTGGCCAAGTTGCATGGCTTAGTCTTTGCCGTGTGGAGAAAAGTAAACGGTCTGTTCAATGAAACGCTCAAGCTGCAGCAGATGCTGCCTCCATGTCTTTCTCATGAGAAGTTATGGGATACAGTAACAACATCAGTTATTGCCATTTGGGAGATGATAATCATTTATAACTCAGACTGTTATGAGACCGTAAAGCAGGGTGAATCTGGTGCTTGGAATTCAGCTTAGCGATAACAAACTATAATGTATTTATGGTAGGTGGCTCTCAACAAGGTAGAGAGAAACAAGTTGGCTTGTTATGCCTTTGAAGGAAAATTATTGTGCTATCAGGTCATTTATGTAGTCACAATGGGATGATGTAAATAGTTTGGAAGTTGCCAACCAAACACTGTTTCCAAACAGAAGTCAAAACCTTTGGGAAATAACAATTGCTGACCAAATGATTCTTCTTTAAAAGCAAACTAATAAACTCTACGGGTCCCTTAGGACGCTGGCAAATCTCCACATATGGTAGAACAGGTTATCTTCTCATTTCAACCTTTTTTTTAATAGAAAGTACCATTGCAATGACCATATCTGACCTTTCTGAAAATGCGAGCCCCAAGATACCCTGAACTAGCTGCTGTCTGAATGTAGAATATAACTTTTACGAAGAACTCTGTCATTGCTAAAATCTGCCAGAAATAGTTTCCGTTATACTTGAAAATCAGTAAAATAGTTATTTAAATTTTGCTCTTTGTTTTCAGTTGCAATTTATTTTTATTTAATTCTGGATATGGTTGAATATGTTTCTATCCTTCTAGCCTTTCTTAAAGAATCTATTACCCATGCGCTTTGATCAAGCTGTTTAACTACTCCTTTAATAAACCCAGAAGACACAGACCCTTTTGATTTTCACTATTAATTGTTTTCCGATCTTAATCTTCCCTGTGTGACAGTCTCTGGAAAGAAAATGCTAAAATAATACTTTCATAGGTAACAGGCCCTCTTGCAGGATTGCATCTTGTTTTTTTCAGGCTAAAGACTGGATTTAATGTTGCAATTCAATTTCATCTGCTTCCACCTTCTCTGATCTTCAGACTGTATTTCAATTGTTAGATTTTTTTTTTTTTTAAAGCTTCAAACAAAACTGGTGCCCCTCTTCTCAGACCAGCTACAAATATTTCTCTTGATTTATTTTTTTTTTTTTTAAGTGACTTTGGGCATTTATTTTCAGTTACTTTACATGAATTCAAGCCCTGATTCTGAGTTCCTACCACATGCAAAGCCCATTAAGTCAATGGAAATTTAGGTCTGGAACCTTCTAAGCTTAATTTTAAAAGAAAAAAAGGAACTGAAAATTTTCTGTTGACTCCTGCAACCTTATCTCAAACTCCTAAGAGCCATAATATGTACTCTCCACAAACGTGTAGGATATGGTACGCTTCTTTCCCAAACTTTTGCCTAGAAAATTTCTGTTCTTAATTAAACTAGAACATACTGGCTGGGCTTCATCAAAAGAAGCTTGGCCAGCAGGCCGAGGGAGATGATTCTGCCCCTCTAGTCTACTCTCATGAGACCCCACCTGGAGTACTGTGTCTATGTCTGAGGCCCCCAACATAAGAAGAACATGAACCTGTTGGAGAGAGTCCAGAGGCCCATGTAGATGATGGGAGGGCTGGAGCACCTCTCCTATGAGGAAAACATGAAAGAGTTGGGTTTGTTCAGCCAGGAGAAGAGAAGGCTCCAGGGAGACCTTATAGCGGCCTTCCAGTACCTGAAGGGGGCCTACAGGAGAGCTTGGGAGGGACTCTTTGTCAGGGAGTGGAGAGATGGGATGAGGGCTAATGGTTTTGAACTAAAAGAGCGGAGATTTAGATTAGATATCATGAAGAAATTATTTGCTGTGAGGATGGCGAGACCCTGGAACAGGTTGCCCAGAGAAGCTGTGGCTGCCCCATCCCTGGAGGGGTTCAAGGCCAGGTTGGATGGGGCTTTGAGCAACCTGGTCTGGTGGGAAGTGTCCCTGCCCAGGGCAGGGGGTTGGAACTCGATGATTTTTAAGGTCCCTTCTGATCTGAATCATTCTATGATTCTATGAACTTAATTTAAGCTATCAGTCCCACAGCTGAAACAGCAGGGCTGGTGGTCCCTCAGCTGAAACAGCAAACACCTGTTTCAGCTACAAAAACGTTTTCTCTGGAGAATAAATTTGCCCCTTCTCATGAGACTGGGGCCATTTCCTGCTCCCTTCCGTTTTCTTCCTTCCCTTTAAGAAAATACAGCCTTTTCTAGTCAGGAACGGCACAGAAGCCAGCGGGAAGGCCCTGAGGGGACGCTGAGGCCGTTCCCGCCTTTGCAGGCGACCACCCTGGAGACCTCCTCAGGAGATCGCCTCAGGACATCCCCTCCCGTGCTGGTAAAACGCCTCAGAGAGACTTAAAGACAGGACCTCTGGGGGACGAGAAAAGTGAAGCGTGAGTAACTCTAATTGAGGCTCGTTTTAATTACATCGCCGCGGGGGTCGTTGTTCCCGCCCCCGCCCCGCGGCGCCTCCTCATGGGGCGGGCGCCTGCTCTCGCGAGACGTCGCCCCTGGCAACGGCCCCACGCGCCGGCCGGCGGGGGTGGCAACGGCCATGGCGGAGGCGGCGGGCTCTGAGGCGTCCTTCTGCCTGCAGAGTATCCTTCCTTTTTTTCTTCCCCCTTCTCCTCGTCTCTGGGGTCCCGCCGGTTCCCCCGCCTCAGGCAGGCGGGCCCAGCTCTCCGGGAACCCCGGGGCCTGCCTCAGCGGTGACTTGAGGTGGGGAGGCCCTGCCTGTGGTAGGGGAGCTGGGGCAGGACTGTCCCGAAAGGAGACCCACGGGTTTCCAAGTTACTTCATACGGCAAGGCGGGGGGGAAAGACAGAAACCTCACCTCCCCACCGCCTTGTTGCTGCTTTTTGTGGGTTATTGCCCCCGGAGGCTAAAAAGGGCCAGTATGCAGGGTGTGTGTGTGTTTCCTGAAGAGATGCTGGGGTCTTGCTGGCTTGAGTGTGATGGTTTTTTCGTTGCTGGTGAAGAGTCAGAGTCCCCGAGCGACCCTTAGGAAATCTGTGCTAATTGTCTCCTCCTGTCCCGCTCTCCCCTTGGCTCCAAGCAGTCAAAGCAAGTCTTAATAACTTATTTTTTTGCTTTAGTTGCTGATCTGTTAGTGCAAAATATCAACAGAGGAACGACAAGACTTACCATTAAGACTCACAATCCCAATGTGCTGTTGGAAAAGGTCCTCCTTTAATTTCCCAATGCCTGCCACACTCTAACTGCCTACACAGTCGTTTTGTTTGGTGGTGCGTATGACCAAGTTATAAAAGATTAGGATACAATAACCTAGACATAATTTTATTTGTTATGGCTTTTAGAGGAAAAAAAATCAGTTTGAATTCTTTTCTCAAGTGAGTTGTGGCAAGTTGTGTTAGGCATTTATGGCTTTTAAATGTATAATTTTTTGTTAGGTGACTCGAATTCTAGTTTTGTCATTAGGTCAGACCAGCTGTACCCATTCTGTTTTGTAGCTGTGAGCTGCCTAATCAAGAAACGAGTTATAAAAGATTAGGATACAATAACCTAGACATAATTTTATTTGCTATGGCTTTTAGAGGAAAAAAAATCAGTTTGAATTCTTTTCTCAAGTGAGTTGTGGCAAGTTGTGTTAGGCATTTATGGCTTTTAAATGTATAATTTTTTGTTAGGTGACTCGAATTCTAGTTTTGTCATTAGGTCAGACCAGCTGTACCCATTCTGTTTTGTGGCTGTGAGCTGCCTAATCAAGATCTTGTGAGCTTTGTTAGAGGCTAAATAATCAGAGCTTCAGTGTTAGGCCCTACCAGTACTGTAATTTTTCCTGCCTTGCTAGAATTAAGATGTAAGCCAATATAAAAGCAATTTTTAAAAAAAGTGGAAAGTTGTCCTTCGCAACCTTGTGCCTCAGTTTCTATGTCTTTGAAACTGCACAGCTGTTTTCACAATATGTGGTGTGCTTAAAAAAGCATCACATCAGGACATGTGTTTAAAAGAGATACTTGACAGTGTTTTTTTGGAAAATACAATACTTTAAAAAAATAATTCTTCAGTTTTGTTGTGCTCCTAGCTATGTTTTTTGGAAAAAAAGAGGAAGAAGTTATGTTTTAGTCTGTGCATACTGTTTGCAATGACACATTAGTTTAGATCATAATGGGTTACAAGGATGATCTGGTCAGGAGAAAATTCAGGAAAAAAACAGTGTTAGAAATGTTTACTTATCAAGGATATCACTGCAGTGGTGCTTCTTTCTGTATTGAAAGATTTGATAAATGCAGAAAGAAACAGTCAAGATGGAGATGAAGAGTCATTTGTAGCCATACAGAAGCTAGCTTTAGAGAAAGTAACCTCTGATCAAATCACTAAATATGGTGTGAAAAATTGCTGGGTACGCTATTTTATTTAAATGTACTTTATTTAAATTAATTTGAAGTTGACATATACTGTCCTATGAAGTAATGAAGTGACTTTGAGGTTCCAGAGAAGTATGCAGATATTTCGTTAGTACATGGAATTACTACATATATACGGAAATTGTCCTTTGCTTCATACAAAAAATGTTATACCCACGTATTCAGGCCGTACAAACATGACCACACTTTTTAAAGTCTCGTTCTTTAAAGAGAGAATGTGAAGTCAGCTAGCTACTACTAGCTGAAGTCAGAATAGTTAATCCAGATTTCTTTTGGTGCAATAGAGAACAGGTTTAGGCTGTTAAATCAAGCCCTTTGGAGGTTCCTTCTTTTTTCTCCCCCTTTATGAAAGAAAGCATAGCAACCATTTTCTTGAGATGAGTTTCTGTCTGCATCGTTCAGGTTTTAGAATTAAGCATTTTGGAATCAATCAAGTTGGAAAATGAAGCTTTTGCAGAAAGCCACATTTGAGATGCAAAGAGATGGTGTCTTGAATTGAAGTCGTGTGTTCCACATCTGCAGTCTGATACAGTAATTTGGGAAATGAATTTGGGGGCACGTGTATTACAGGCATTTGCTTTCATCTACTAAGCCTAGATAGGAGGTTCTTAAGAAGCATTCATGCTAGCTACCTATTTATATATGCAATTTTTATAGTAAACATGTAGTTTAATTGGACAGTTGGAGGTACACAGATGTGCTTTGATTACTGAAAATTATGCCTTTATTCACTCAATGACTTCCCTGTTTGGTTTTTTGGTTTACAATAGAAAACGAAATCTCTCCAACTTTTCTCTCAAACCTCACATCTCTAAAACAGATGAGGGTCCTTTGTTGGGACATGATCTTCAGCTGTTAGCTTTCCAGAGGCTTACAATTTAACTACTTTTGTTAATGCTGTGATGCTGGGGTCTTGAATGCAGATGATACTTTTACATGTACATATTGTACTGTGAGAACTGTAGCAAAAGGTCTGTTTTTAAGGAGAATAATTCAGGCTTGGGAAACTTCATGCAAAGCTGGAAAATCATGTTGGCTTTTTTTTTTCTTTTTATATGTTTAAGTTACCATTTAAATTTGAAGTATGTGAAGTCTGAATTGCCAGCTTTTTTCGGAGGTTAAGTTCTGGTTTATTTACACGGGTAATTTATAGGCTAACTGATTTCCCACAGACCATCTTGCTAAAAATATTTTTGTTATACTTTTGTGGGCTGTGAGGCTAGTGGATGAAAAATGTTTATTTGGGTTTCATTTTACACCCTTTGTAGTTATTTTTAATGAAAAGTTTGGCTCCAAAGCATTTGGAAGAACTGTAGATAATCACCAAATGAATTTTTACATTTTGAAAGTTCCTTATCTTTTTGTTGTGATTGTGCCGCAATTATTAAGGTTTTTGTATCAGTTTCAGTAAATGGTCTTCTGGTACTCAGTGTTTGATCTCAGATGCTTGAGTTTGAACTTGCACATCTGAATTTGATAAAAAAAAAGCCATTTTCTGAGAGCATGAAGTTAGTTATGCTTAAAAGCATAAAGTCTGTAGAAGTATCAGTACAGTAAGACCCCTATGAAAACTGATGATTGTGTGGGTGAGAGCAGAATTTAGATACTGTTTAATTCAGAACAGTGTTTGACTTCTAACTTCAACAGATCTGATGAGGTATATTTTAATGGTGTTTAAGCTGCTATGAAAACTTTGAGTCTGTGTACTTAATTTTCACTAGAGCTGGGCATGTTCACCCAAAGGGTGAAAGAAGCCTTGAAAGTGCAGAGTCTTGTGTCATAAAGAAGGGCGAAGGTGGTGATAACAGATTTATCGGTGCTTGTTTTGTGATACTTTTTTGTTCAAGTTGGAACTCATCACATTCACCAGCTGTTTCAGACTTAACAAAATCTGCAGAATTTACCCTAACAGACGACTCTAAAGATGATTATCAGTATGAAGAGGTAATTTACTAAATGGATAATCTTCTGATATATGTTTATTTTACTTCATCAGCCACAAAAACATCCTAGGAGAAATGACATGAAACTCTTTTTTGTAAAGTGTGATGATGTTAGGCATCTCTTTATTTTTCAAGAGAAGATTTAGTGTAGTTGATTTGTTATGTTTCACTTTTATTTTTATGTTAAATACTTTTTTGAAGACACAGGTATTTCTATTTAGATATTTCAGTTTAAAATAAATATTTCGGTAATATAAATTCTCTTTAAATATGGCAAAATATTATTTTAACAAGAACGAGATTATTTTCAATAGTTTTCTTGGGAGTGGAAAGATGTATAAAATATGTTGATACCTAGCTTTAAATCATTTCATTTAGGTTCCAGAAGATGATGAATTTAGTCTTCAGGAAGATGATGAGGATCTGACGAAGGCTTTGCAGACTATTCAAGAGCAGGCTGAAGATGCCCAAATTTTAGTAAGAACCTCCTAAACATTCTAAGACTTTGTAGTTCAATTGGCATTAGTGGCTTAAAATTTGCACATTGTAATTTACTTTAATTATGAAATGTTTGTGTGCAAAAGACTGTCTCTTATTTTTTTAGAACTTTCTAGGGGTAAACATGCTACAGTGGAAAAGGCAACTTGTGTTTCCTGGGTTTCATCTTCCTTCAACTTTTGTTCGTTTTATGTTCCACAAACAACCTGATATTGCAAATACATGTAAGAAATATATAGATAGATTATTTAAAACATATTAATGTTATGAAAACACATTGACAACCTGATATTGCAAATACATGTAAGAAAGATTATTTAAAACGTATTAATGTTATGAAAACACATCAGTATTTTAGGGTTTGTTTCTTTATCTGAGTAGATTGAATGAGAGTGTGATCCCTAACACAGGAAAGACACTGCATATGCTTAAGACCCCCAGAAGCTTGTACTCTGCTAAAAAACATTATAGATATTGTCGCGGTATTTTAGGGTTTGTTTCTTTATCTGAGTAGATTGAATGAGAGTGTGATCCCTAACACAGGGAAGACACTGTGTATGCTTAAGACCCCCAGAAGCTTGTACTCTGCTAAAAAACATTATAGATAGTGTGGTTTGAGTTAAAACGGAACCAATTTTCTGTTCAGTAATTTTAATTTTCAGCTAAGGCTCTTCTAACTAACTGAACTCTCTGAAATTAACAGCATAATGTGGAGACACTGTTCTCTCTCTGAGAGCTAGGACCTGATTATTTATAATTAGGCCAAGGAATGGTATGCAGAGAGGCTCTTGCTTATACTTAATGCTGTAACAACCAAGGCCGGCTAATTTTGTGATACACCCCGTTGGAGAGTCGGAAGCAGAAAAGCATAGAGGAGTGGCACCTGCAGGGAGGAGGGGACAGGAGAAGTGACCCAAAAGTGGCCAGCAGGGTGTTCGATCCCATCTGCATCATGCTCAGTATAAAAGCTGAGGGATCAAAGGGTCCACCTTCTCTTTCTTTAGTGGTGACCACCTGAGGAGGACTCCGTCTGTTCATCTGCCTTGGGGAGACCATTTGCTGTTCACTTCAGTGGCCGGTCTGGCCCAAACCAGGACAGATGTATTGAAAAACCAAGAATAGGCTGTTACACTATGTTAAATCAAAATATTAATGAAATGATCAATAATTTCACACCATTAGTTTTTGACACTTCTTACAGTTTGATTTCAAAACAGCCATGTAATAGAGTTACACAATAGCGTTGTTATGTTGCATTTTCCAAAATACGATTTACCTGAATTTACTTGCTTATAACAATCTAATGGAAAAGTGTTTGTCCCTGCTGTGTTTCTAATATCACCATTATCTTATGGCCTCATTAGTAAGCCCTCATCATAGCCTTTGGTTTGTAAAAGCAAATGATTAAGAATGAAAAGATATAACTATGTGAATCATTCTTAACATCAAAATGGAGGAAAAATGTGCATTTTTCTAGTTCATATCAACAGACCAGTTTTGTATTTTAGATCAAACTTTGAATGAAGACTGACAATACTGGAGTCTTCTGTGTTTAGAAACTGAATATACCTGAAAATGAAGAGAAAGGTAGCATAAGATTTTAAGACTGAACATACTTGATGCTAACCAAGTAGTGGAAATTCTGAATATTCTTTAGGGATACCCAAGTTATGTCTGTTTTACTGTGTGAGTTGACATTCGAATAAAGTGAAACAAGGAAGGATATTTTTAATCTATTGATCTTTTGACAGTGCTGTAATTAAGTAACCTTTTGCCTCTTTGTTGATTGAACTTTGACTGGTAGGAAACTCAGATTCTCTTGGATTTTGTTCTTATGCTAATAGATATCTGCCTTCTTGCTTCTTGACTCATTATTTGGAGGCTTCATATTTTTCCATAATTTTGAAATGGAAATAATATTTTCAGTCTTTAGACAGAAAGACATGAATAGAAGATGTTTTAATACACTTGATAGTTCCTTGACAGCTTTCGTAACAATTTACTGTATATTTTGTGAGGCTCAGTTGACTAGATTGTTTGATGCTAATTCACTGGAAAAACCAAGTGCTGCAGTGGATGCTTTGAATGACCCAAGTTAGAAGCATTGTTTCCTGTGAATTAATATTGAATCAGTATCCAAACTCTGAGGGAAGAAGCATAGTAAAAGTCAGTCTTCAAGTGAAAAATAATTGCTACGCTTTTTCAATTTTTAGTTTCTAATCTTGGCTAAAATGGGTTAAATTAGGTAACAGCCTTATCCTGGAATAGCTAATCTGTGATAGAGTTTTAAGTGATTGTGCATATTTGCTGGTCATAGTAACTTGTATACCTAATCCCATATTAAAGATTGCATTTCAATACAAGATGCAAATCTGTTTGTTAAAGGAAAGAAATTATTTAGAGAAGGCACATATAAAGTGAGCGTACAAAAATATTTAAGTGGTTCGCCAAATGCAGATACTATAAATATCCACAGTTTCTAAACTGAGTAACTACAGTGTCTTTTACGCTCTGTTAAAAAGGTCAAGTATAACGAGGAAAATCTAAGAAAAATACTTATTTTCAAACTTACTTCCAAAGTAATTAACACTAATTACTAAATGAAGAAGAGCAAACATAAGCAAAAGAGATATGGTGCTATGCACCTTAAAAAAAAGGGATATTGAGACATGTTTGCTTTCCTTCTGGACCTCTGCATGCAGTGAAACTACTGGTCTTTAAGGAGCTGGGTGAGGCTCCTTCAACAGTTACAATTCATGTTTTTGTTTGGATCCCAACAGGGAAATGAGGGTGATGGAGCTCTAATTTCTAAATATCGTTTCCCGTAGTCTGGTGGTGAAATGGCAGCTGATTGAAAATACAGCTGTGCTGGGCAACACGTGCTTTGGATAGCAGTGATTCTGCTGGCAGTTCCCATTCTAGTCATCATCTGTCCTTTCATGGACATGATTTTTTTTTTCCCGTTGTCCTTGTTTTGAGACAGTGTAAAGTATCATAAAGTATTTTAAAACAATAGAATATTTTGCATTTAAAATAAAAAATTCAGCTGATAAGGATCCTAGGAGAAGGATACAGAACTTTGGGAAAGCCATGCACAAAAGAAAGCTGCCTGAATTACTTTCTTTAGCAGTTACAGCTATTACACTTCAATTTCAATATATTAATTTTCTTAATATCCCTAATGATAATCTGAAGTCACATGCCTTTTATTAACCTTATATTTTAGGTAGATCTGATTTGTTTGACTATGTTAAAAATCTTTGAATTACCTCTTTATTTTTTGTTAGTTCAATAAGTTTTGCAAGAACATCTCATTTTGTTTTCCAGAGAAATTATTATTTGGTGTTAATCTACAATATCTCAACAATTTCTGTGCAAGGAAGAAAGAAGTCCTTAAATTTATGGTTGTAGCAGTTAACTTACTTTCCTGACCATATTTGCCATCCTTAGACTTAAATTTTTTGAAGATTTTAATTCAAAAAACTTAACCAAGGTATATTTAACAAAGCAAGTATTTAGTTTGTTTATTTTGACTTAATGCTCAGAATCCTTTAATAAGATGTTGTCTATATAGCTACTATAGGGTGTCTGTACTGCATCAATTAGTAGATTGTATTTTGCTCATTTCTAAATAGGTAACTGTATACAAAAAATTACTGTTATTGCCATTCTGTGGGTAGTCATCCAAGGTTAAGATGAAGTTAAAGAAAGTGGTCAGCCTAAAGACTCACAAAGTCTTCAGGAGAGCTGGGAATTTAATTGTGGTTTCCTGAGGCCCTGTTCCAGTACCTTGCCTGTTAGACTGCATTCATTTTTCCCTATATTGTTCCCTGCTCGGGCGTCAGTTCCTGAAATGATTCTCAGTGCTAGTATCTAGCTAATAAATTCTCCTCTGCACGGAT